CGTTTTTTTTGTTACTTTTTAATATCCATTTAGCGCTTCGCCAACACGGGGTACCCTAAAAAAGGACATCCGCCATTTATAGTTTCATTTTCCATTTTCCGGGGAGATAAATGGAATTGGGGACCCCCACCCCCTCCCCCTTAAGCCAGAGGGGATCTTTTTCCCGTTTTCTTTTGGCCTGACATGTTTCTTGTTGCCCATGGAAATCCACTGAGGGTCTGGGCTGCCAATTGACGAGGTTTGGTGAACCCGTCCTGCTTCGTCCATGGTTCATGTCGGATTGCATGGGGAGACGAGTTCATTTGTGACCTGGGACGCCTTTTGTTACAATAAGGTTAAAACCATAGGTGTCCTTTTTGGTTGGTTTGCTTAAAAATAGAGGGCCCTGGTTTTGATGGGGTGTATTCCATTTACCAGGCCCTTCAAAAGGCCACCTATGGTTAAAATGGTGTGAGAACTGACAGTCCCACGCCTGTCGCATGGATTCTTGGTTCAACCCACGGTTGGCCAGATAGGGCTTTGGAAAACCGGTAAGAAGCGCTAACTTGTTTGGTCTAAGTATTGATAAACCACCGAAATCCAGCCGGAGCCTGCGCGGATTTTGTCCGCAGCGTGCGGGGTGCCTGTGTGCTTGGGTGCCGGAATGTGGTTGTAACGGAGGTTATAAGCCCCCGAACGAACCAGGCGTTAGTGGGTTTGTGATAACACAAATCGGCGGCCAGGCTGGTGAAGATAAATGCAGAGGGTCCCTTGGTACCTTCTCAGGATGTACCAAAGAGGGTCACAAGGTACCAAGAGACCCTTAGAAGATGAAGGACAAAACGCTTGGTCCGTTCCATTCTTCTGGCACCTTACGCCTTTCGCACTGCTGAGCGAGTTCTATTCCTGGTGCCGAGAGGGATGTCCCAGAGGCCAGAGTTGCGACGAGTGGAGAGTGGGAGGATGAACAAGGGTGCTTAGCTGCCTCAACTTTTTCTAACTCGGGGGTTATAACCTACTAGATCCTACTACTTCATGAACCTCAAATTTTGGGTTTGGTCCATTTGCTGGAGTGAGGGAATCCTTTTTCCATCCATCCCTTGGGGGCTGGGATTTTCCGCGAAGCCCATGCGGACCCTCAGTTCGTCCGATCAATCAGGTCTCGGCCGTGTGCGACTGGAGCCGGCCGGGAAAGCCCAGCCCGAACGACCCACCCGCATGCACGGGGTCCAGATGGAACTCACCTTGCCCGGAAAGCGAATCGACTTGAAACGACCTTTTGTTTTGTTTTTGGTTCCCAGTTTGTTAGTCATGGAAGACTATTGAACCTTTTATTTCGTTTTAGTTCTGGGTCCCGACAGGGGCAACTGAGGGGATTGTACTGGGACCAGCCGCCGGGGCAGGATGTTGCCCAGCAGCCATTTTGGGTGGTCGTTCTTGCTTTCATGTTGTGAATTATGTAGCCTTTATTCTGCTGGTAGAAGGAATATGTGGTGAATGGGTGAAACGGGCGCTCACATGTTGACCTGATGAATAGGCGCCGGCTGGCATGTGCAACTTATTTAGACAAGTAGGTTGCAAGGGTTAAGCAAACACAGACTCCTCACGAAATGGAGGTGGTCCCAATGACTACTAGCGATGCAAGCGAGGGTCAGCCATTAAACTAAATTCACCCTCGGCGGTTGAGGATCAGAAACGCCGAGTGCGGCCTGTATCACCCAGGTGAAACTGACCTGGTTCTTTTTTTGTTTTGGGGGAAGCTTTCGGTGGTTGGCCGAATTGCTTGTGGGTACGGCATTCATGGAATTGTGGAGCGCAGGTTTGCATTTGTTCGAGGCAGGCAGCAACCTTTGAGGATGCTCTTTGAGACTTGCATTCAGCCAAGAGTTGATTCATCACGGATAGGCGCATGATTGAAAGGCAGTAGCATCGGCAGGAGCATCGGATAGTTGTTGTAGCTTAGAATTCTGTTCTTTGGTGTTTACTCACTTGCCCAACGCCGACCTTTCGTCCTTCCGGGTTTCCCTTTTTGCTTGATTTGTAGTCATGCCCTAACAGATTAACCTTTTATTTCTGGATCCTTTGGGCAACTGAGTTTCAGTTGGTGAGGAAAAAGTGGTCTTCAATTCAGCAGTGCCGGATGCCGTGTGTGCACCCGGCCGGCGTGGGGGTTCAAATTCTGCAAGTCGAGAAACAAATTCCAGGTGTGGCCACATATTCTGTGCCAGAAGACCCAACAACCTCCCTCAAAAACCACGATGTTTCCAAGAGGCTACGGCACTTGTACAGGTTTTGAGTCTTTAGGTGGGCACAGCTTTGCAGGCAGAAGCGAGAGTCTTTGAGAGCGGGTTAATTCATCGGACCATTAATTGCGTAAATATGGCGGCTAGCATAGAGCTAACATATATGTGATTCGTCGAGGTTTGCATTTTTCTAGCCGTTAGCCGAGAAAGCACACATTTCAGTTCTTTGAAAGAGAAAGCGAATGTTCAATGCGAAAGTGCCGTTTCAATTTTCGCTGGACACGCGGTCGGGGAAAGTCGCCGCTTTGTCGGGAAACGTCACCGTTTCGCCTTCATTAGTTTTCCCTAGAAGAATAACAAGCGTGCGAAAAGTGCCTAGAGACAAAACGGGGCCGTTTTCCGGAAACAGCAGCTTGTCACGAACATGAACTACGACCAGACGTACATCAACACAAGAGATTCTAACTTTCCCGTCCGGTTCCTTTGCGAATCCCTCGGATTTCGTGAGTTTGTTCCCTTTCCAGCCTAAGTAGCATTCAGAGCTGCAACAGAGTGACTAACAAAGGCCGTGGCCATTAGAGTTTGGTGTTTTAAAGGAAAGCCAAAGGGAAACCGTTTTGGGGGCTCACAAGCCTATTTTCACACGCATTCATCAAACGACGGGTTGTACTTGAGCTTGGAGTTTCTTGCGCGACTCTGCGGAGCAGTAGCATGCTTGTGCCGAGGCAGAGCGACGCAGGCAGATGGGTTAGGGTGTTGTGTGTGGTATCTGGGGGGCTTGGTAAAGCGGCCACATACGACCAGAAGGCCCTGGTAAGATGAACGCCCAGGTGTTCTCTCGAAAAGTGATCTTTATCCGGGGTTGCCATTCATCGACGTGGGATGGCTGTATCTATGACGGAGTGGCGGTCTCAGGGCTTCTCGCTGCGGACCTTGCCGCGAATCGTGTTTTATTTCTCCGTTGGGTTTATAGATGGAAATAGGGATAGCGGTGGATGTTTCTTATGTCATGTCTGCTTCTGGTGCCGAAAGTGCTCATGGAGTCATTGCTGTCCAACCAATTCGGTGCACTTTTGAGTTCATAGGAGTCAAGCGGAGGAGGCGGTGTGTTCTCCTCTCCTTGAAAGGTGACAGACCAAAACCCGAAGCAAGAGCACCCGTTCCTCGACTGACTCCACTTACTACAGCTAGATTTTGAGGCATAGCCAGTGTTTTGGCTTTTATTAATATATCCTGGCGGTGTGCATCCAACGATCCACCGTCCCTAGCTGAGGGAACACCCAGGGTTTATTCATTTACTAGCATCTAGTTTTCCAAAAGGCCACCTAGTGCAACACGATGATGATGATGATGATGATGATGATGATGATGAAAATGATGATGATTATGTGTAAGCAAGTTGTGTTGATAAGTTCAATCCACGCACTCATCGACCATCCGGTAGGAGTCCGATTGTCCAATTGGCAAGGAGCGAACAACCGCTGAGTCACCGAGCCGGGTCTTTTGTTTGTGTGCGGGCACGCAAGCGGGATGCCAGGTAGGGCTATCCAATTGAAATGTTCACACTACTGGCAGTGAGGAAAATACCCTTTTGGACGGGGCTGGTTTCGTCAGCATGTTGCTCAAATTTGCCAGATCTAATTCACCGGGAGGGGGGGACCAAGCTCATCCATCAACCTTGGTTACCCGTAAGTCCCTCATTTCAGGTGGTGTATAAATAATCTGACCAGTGTATCATTCTGATTTCAGTTTCCAACCAGTGCTTGGTCAAATTGGTGTGTCTTGTTTTTGCAAACCCTCAGGGGGTTAATACTACCAGGGTTTCAATACCAGGTCTTCATACATGTTTGATCTCTTTTGACATTGTTGCGCAGTTGCTTGAAAGTAGATGGCCCAACATCCCCGCTACGCACCTGTGGCTCAAATAGATGCACCAACATGACACCTTGGTAAATGGAGCCAAAGACTAACACCTGAGGTTGGCCCTGGCTGATTGATTTTGAGCAACACCCACCCACATCACAAAAAGTGCGACTCACATCGCAGCGCCCGGCACCTTTGCCAAACAACAGTGGCTCCACTGGTTTCAATAAGATCAGTATAGTATGTCCCATGCTGGGTCTGTCTGTTTGTTTTTTTTGTTTTTTTTGGTGGGGCGAACCATCATAGTTATTCCGATTCCTATTAAGGGAACCATCATGGGTGCGATGGGGGCTGGGGAGGGAGGGGGGGGAGGGAGCCCAAATATGCCCGTATTAAGACTCTTGTTCTTACCTCCACCCCCTCTCCCTTCCCAAGCCCCATCAAACCACCTGGAGATTCCAATGCCGAGGAATTCCTAGGCGTTCTGGTTCTCAAGGCGTTTTAGGCGTTTTAGGCGTTTTGCGCTTTTGTGCGGGCGGTTGCCCCTTTTTTGCGTGCGTTTTGCGGCAATTTGCGGGCGTTTCCTGTTTCTAGGCGTTTGCGGTAATTTGCGGGCGTTTGCGTCCAAAACAGGGTCAATGCCGAGAATGACTAGGAATTCCTTGATGTTTGAATCTCCAGGCATGACCATAGGCCTAACAAGCGGAGTTTTTCGAGCCCATGGCTAATATGGGTTCATACTGGATGGACGAAATCCATTTCACGCTACCCTTGCGAAACCCCGGTTTCTAATGATTCGATTCCCAACGAAAGCACCAACAAACGTTCTGGTTTCATTCCCATGGTTTCATTTCGTTGACGCGAGTTGGGATTTCGCAAATCCACAGGTTGAGCCTCAGGCTTCTCGCCGCTTTCAGCCTGGGCTCGAGTCCGATGCCTCTCGGGCGAAGTCTGTAGATTCCATCTTCGGGCAACGACCTCCGGAGGACCTGATTGGGTCCATGGAGGTGAACATTTTCATAGCTTCACAGCTTCGCTTCATTGCCCAACCCTCTCCCCCCACAGTATCGTGGTTCCAAATTTGCCAAACAGAATGACATTCCAGCCCACGTGTGCATTCCCGCAGCCTTTGGACTCACGACACTCTCTATCCATTTGGGCCACGTGATAAGAAGAGCTACAATTAATCCTTGATGTGCTCTTTTTGGTGGGCATGTTTGAGGTTGTTAGTTTGTTTGGTTCTCTTCATTTTTCAGCAGGGGGGGGGGGACAACGTTTTTGCTACCACACCATGGGTTGGACAGTTGTTCGTGGTGGTTTCTAGCGAACAATGTGACTTGCACGCGCACTATCGGAGGGCACATCGCCCGTCCGATCTTCGTATGCTGCCGCAGGAGGCGACCCGCTTCATACTCTACTTGCAGGCACGACCGAAATATTGCCTCTCTTTTTTTCTGGGGAACAACCGCCAAAATGGCTGGTGGACGTGAATCTCACCTACATGATGTACAAAGGGTCCAGTACCCATTGAAAACCATAACTTGGTTTTTGTCGACTGCAGGGTGCAATAACGACCATGGACTTTGCCCATTTATTTGTAGCCGCAGTGGGCGTGGTATCTTTGCTGTTCCCATGTCCAATCGCAAATTCCCAAGCAGAGACGTCAACCTCAGAAAGGGGTGCTGCCATCTGACCCGGGATGGTTCCTTTCTTGTTGTTTCCTTAACATGTTGAGCCTAAGATTCGGTTGGGCAGCGAACTGCAGTTTTCTCACTTAAGTTCCGTTTCGGGCTTTAGACTTGTTAGGATTTAGGGTTTAGGCCATTTTAGTTGTAAGTACAACGTTACAGGACATTTTGTTGGCCAACTGGATCGGTGAGGTTTGGGATATGTGAGGTGGGATTTCCTCTAGTTGTCCTTTCCACAAAGCCCAAAACTCCGCGAACGTTTGGTAGCGTCCTACGTCCTTGCGGGAAAAACAGAAAAGGACACTTGTTTCCTGCTATTGCCCGCAGAAGTACACTCTGGAGAAACACGATTTCATTGTTGGCAACGCCGAGCAAATGGGTCTCTTGGGTTCATAATTCACAACGAGCTGCAATTTACACACCAAAATGAAGAATCTCCAAGGGGCCCATCATCATCGGTGAGATTATTTTTTCTAGGTGAAGCATTCTGCAAATGCGGGGGACACTTCAACTCTCTTGAGTTCGTGGACTTTATCTAGTCAGTTTTTAGGGGGTTGGGTTGGACCATGTGGTCAAGAACTGAACAGGTCGGTTTCTTTTTTTTGGCCAATCCACGCGGTCGGACGTGAGTCCAGGACCCCGAAACGTCAGGTTCCATGTTTGTGGACAGGAGAGTGGGGGGACACCAAGGCCATGCGGTTTTCCCCTTGATTTCCCGTTAAGCCAACCTGGAAACGGGTAGCCTAGGACGCGCCCACCCGCGGCTTTCGCGGAATCTCCGAATTGAAGCCCCTTTAAGTGGCGACCGTGGCCGCGGACTTGGTCCTGGACCCCTGGCCAAGTCTCTTCTTGGAGTCAGTAAGTTGTAACGGTAGCCTATAGGTCCATAGGTTATACTCTTGGCTGTGGTCAAAATTAAACCACCAGATAACCGCAAGTTTTGGTCCTTGGTTCCATTTACCATAGTTTCTTCGACCCACTGCCACTTCTGAGTCCCCCGTGAATGTGGGGTTAACCTCGTTGTTAGGGGCTGAAAAAGCCCAAGTGGCTAGCCACCCCTTTAACTTGGCCGAACATCCAAGTACTGTAGTGGGAGCCCCTCGAACAAAACCCTGGTTCAATCGAATGAAGACAACAGAACGGCATCTATATTCGAGTTCGAGGGAGGCAATTGTTCTGACCAGTGGCCCGAAAGATGATCACGTTTTGTTATGCATGTTGCTTGGATGTTAGGACTTTAACTTTGTGCCAACTAATGGGTTTCCCATTAAAGCAATAAAAGTTACACTTTTCGCAGGGGAGCAGAAAGCAAAAGAGCTATTTCTGATGCAACTGGGCGGCTGGGAAGATGTTACGTGCCTTTGCTACACTTCGGATCCGCACGCCATCAGGTTGGCGATGAGCAGCTCGGCCAGCTGAACATACGAAACTGTGGGATGCTTTAAACGAGAAGGCAAAAGGATAAGCATTTTTTTTTGAAATGGGAGCGCCCAAGTTTTAGCAACCCGCAGTTGGCCAATTGGCCAATTTGGTACTGGTTCCGTACTGGCGTACGCAGGCATAGTGAAGCAAGGGGGGAGTCTATGTAATCATTGCCAGACCTGGGTTGCCTTTTGCCCTTTTAGGTTTTCTTAATTTTCCCTTTGAGCCACTTTGAGCCAGCAACTTGCATATATGGTTGGTGAAGACCCAATGCCAGTCGGCAGAAGCCAAGGGCTGTCAACACTGTTTTTCCAATTGGCAACATGTCTTAGTGTTTCTTGCAACAGAAGTAGGGACCCCCGATTGGCTGCTTTTCTTTGTTCCCCTTCTACAATCCATCCCGATAAAGGGCCCGCCTGGTCTAGCCAGGGGATCCCAGTTGGTTGCCAGAACCAGGTAAATGGATCCACTGGGTCATGCAACACCTCAAAACCGGGCGTGTCTTGAAACATTTTTTTGGGGGGACACCAAAGCCAGGCGGTTTTCTTTTGATCTCCGTTTAAACCAACCTGGGCCCGCCTGGTTTAGACATCAGGGAGTGCATTTTCTTGTAGGTCCCTTCCCTCGCCACTTGCCATGTTCTCCGTTCAAGCATAAAGGGCTGACCCATAAACTGAACCTGCAATGGTCAGCAAGCCCCCGAAAATGGGGGACAACCCAATTTGGTTTGCCAAAGTATCCCGGAAAAGGGGTACCTGGACCCTCAAGCTACCTTAAACTGCATAACATGGGGTATTGCCAAACAAATATATGGAGTGAGTTTCAATTTTCAAGGGTTTGAGGGAATCAGAACCGAAGCTGTTTTGAAGCAGTGAGTGCCGAATCGGCATTCGAATGCCACCCTAACTGGTGAAAAAGGACTTTTTCACAGAGAGAGGGAGGTTTGGCAAGATGTCACTAGATTTCGCTCATGTCCTGTGAACTCACTCCTAAAAGGAGTATCCTCCGACCAAAACACCCATTCCTTTCAACCGTTCCTGTTTGGCTGCAGATCCCGCGCTCCCTAGGGGAATGTGGCATTCCTGACAAGGCGCCTCTAACGTTAGAGGGGCAGCGTGCCAAAAGTTAGTTGTTGGAACCCTGGGTTGCAACCGACTTAGTTCCCCGTTCAGTGGAATTGATCCTGTCGTTGGCTAACCGAGTTGTCGTTGGCGAACCGCTTTTTGTTGTTGTCTGAACATCCCAATAACAGCCCTCTTTGAGAGGGGCAGCCCAGTGGCTCCAGCCAACAAGAACCGCCCCGCTTTTTGGGGATCACAGAAGCCAGTGTAAATGCAAAACTCGATCATGGTTTCGTTATTTTCGGTGTTTCCCCGCTGGCCAGAAGAAACATTCCAACCTTCGACTGTGGACGGAAAACCATTCCGCAGGGCTGATGAAACCCTATGTCATAGCTTATCTGCCGCCTGGCGCGGGCGTTAGTGGGTTTATGATCTCATTTACCAACACAAATCAGCGGCCAGGCTAGTTAAGATACATGCAGAGGGTCCCTGGTACCTTCTCAGCATGTACCAAAGGGGTCACAAGGTACTTAAAAAAAAAGCCTTCGGGGATGAAGGATCTGTCCATGTACAACAAGCAGACCCCCCCCCAAAAAAATGAGTGGGGAAAACTGTTCCTTGGGGTTTTCTTGGGGTTTTTCGTCCTTTGAACCTCGAAACCGTCTGGTCGGAAGTCGCGGGTAGGTTGGAGATGCCTGGTGCTGGCGGCTCTCGTTGACTTCACCAGCGGCTCGGCGGAGACGCATTTCAACCGTAGGACTCGTTGGACCTTTCTCGGGAGACCTCTTTTTTTGGGGGCGAACTAAAGGTTTGGATGTTTTTTCTTCTTCTTCTTTTTCTCGATATTTTTATATAGGGGGGGATTCCTTGTCCATTATGTTCAATAATCGTTCTTTTCAATCACCAGCCGTTTTCAACCTGGGCGTCCGGATAGAAAGAAGAATCCCTGGTGGGAAGAATGGGGAAGGTACCCTTAGAACAATGCATCCCTCTAAAGCCTCAGCCCCTGAGTCCCTGAACTTTAGACTTGTGGGAAGACAATTTTAGTGGTAAAGAAACAGGTCCTGGGCTTTTTGACAGATCCACTCAGTAAGTGAGAAGCATAACATCAGAATCAGATGCCCGCCCCATCAATTGTTGTAGAATTGGGTAGTATTGCTGGGCCAACCTTTTGCCCTTTTGAGATTAGATTTGAGGGATTCGAGTTTCCATTTGGTTTTGTGTTGCTGGAGCTTTTTTTGAGAATGGATTTGAGATTTGAGAGATTTGAGTTTCTATTTGATTTAGTATTCCTGGGCCTTTCGTTTGAGATTGGATTCAAGGGGTCTGAGCTTCCATGTATTGGATTTGAGGGATTTGAGTTTCCATTTGATTTGGTATTGCCGGAGCTTCCTTTTGAAACTGGATTTGGGGTTTGAGTTACCATGAGGTTGACACCCGGGCCCCCGTTCGTTCACCCCAGAAAAAGAATATACTGCGTCCACCCTGAAAACTATGCTTTCAAGAAAAGGTATTCCCAACCCAAGGTATGGGGCGATTTCCAATTCTTTAAGGGTACTGTGGATTGAGGGTCCAGGTGCCAAGATTGCTGCCAACTGCTCCTAGGATGGGTGTATTCCCTTGTTTCCTTTGGAGGTATTTTGAGGATGGAAGTCCTCTTAGCAGTTCCCAAGTTGACAAACCAGTACGTGTGTCGGCTTCTACCGAGGCAACACGCGCTGCGGGACCGGGCAGGAAGAAGCAAGTGCACTTAACCAGCAATCTGAAGCTCTTATTGCCTTCCATTTGCTTAAGCCCCCGGGAAAAATGCAACAATTTCCAGCAGTGATGGATTCCCTTTAGAACCAACGAGGGGAAAATAAGCAGTATTCTTAAGCAAATGGAAGTGCAATTGGACACGGGCGCTTCCCACAAACAAAAAAGTTGCCTTCCAAAAATATCCCGCAACGGAGGGAACCAGTAGCTAAACGGATGTATGTCTGATCTACCAGGAGTCACAGAGGTGGAAGATGCACAACCCCAAAGCTCAAAAACAGCCCTTAGAATCTAGTCTCAAATCTGGTTGAAGCTTTTTCCAGGCCCTAGCCGTTCCTGGACAAACTACGCAACACTACAAATGTTCTAAGAACAAAACAACAGCAATCCCCACAATAAAATTGCTCGGCATGGCATTATATGAAAACCTAGCCCTAGATAATCCCACAAACGGGAAAGGGAGTACTTGCGGAGGGAAACATGCATTATTTTCTGGGCCTGCGGCCTCTAGCCGGCTACGCCTCTTTGAAGTTATACCATGTCATGTCATGTTTTTTGCATGAAAAACGTAGCGTGTGCTATGATATTGCTGGTTAGGTTATGCATGTTGCCCACCTTAACCCCAGATAATGCCGGGGATGCCGGCTTTCTGGACCCCATCCGGGCCCCAACCCAGAAGGCTGACATGGGGTCGCGCGCGCGCGCCAGAGGACCCAAAAAAACCAGCCCAAAAAGAGCAGCCCGCAAGCCAGGCCGAAAATGCAAATGCAACAAAACACCGTAAATAGCAGCGTTTTGTGGCTGGGGTCGCGCGCGCGCGCGAGAAGGCCCGAAAACCAACAAGAAAAAAGCAAGGACCGCGCAGCACGCGAGCCAGCCACAGCGAAAGCAAAACGGACAGAACAACAGCCCAACGCTCAGCACAGCAGTTTTTGGCGGTATTTGCAGCGTTTTGTAGAGCGAGGACGCAGCATCGCCGGCATGCCTCCAGCGCTTGGCGCCAAAATGCGCAAAAATGAGCCTTGCTTATACCCCTCCGATACCGACTTAAAAACAGTGCTTTTTGGGTGGAGAGGCTTTTTGGAAGGAAGTCTTGATGATGCAGACCAAGCCCCGCTGAAGCATCACCCAGGCCCAGCCCCAGACCCTGACGATGTCAGCCACATGGCCTAAACCCTGCATATACGCGATGTTTCGCGAGGGTTTCCCACAGTCAAGCAAAACCGCAAGCCCGAGCTGGTGATGCAGAGGTGCCGGATTTAGGCCGCGCATCACGACCAAGTGGCGAGGGTCGGCGGCACCAGGGTGCAGCCCCTATAGCTAAAGCTAGCAGGCTAATTGTCTAGCGGCGACATGCTACCCCCAAGGAGGCGTAGCCGGATTAACCAGGCTCCCGCCTGCTGCCGCCGACCCTCGGCGCATGAAGGGAAAAGTCATAAGGACCGGTCCTGAAACACGTCCGCAAACCCAGGGACCACTTAAATGATCCTCTACGACCACAAACAAGGATGAACGGAAAAGTCAGAAATATGGCAGCTAGTCCGCTGATTACCGCTTGGGCCGGCTTGCGCCCAAGTCACTTCAAGTTGGCCCGGGAGCAGCTCCAGCAATACTAAACCAAGCGGAGACTCAAATTGTCTAGTCCAATCTCAAAACAAAGCCCCCACATTAAATCATCTGGAAGCTCAATTCCCTAACCAGAGGTGCCTATGAGGGCCGAAGAGGCGCGATGTGGCGGGGATCCATGTCGTGACATGTTCCTTGGGTGCTAATATGGTATGGGCCCTATTCGCGCCCATGGCTAAGAGGGAAGCGGTTCTGATTGGCATGTATTCAGCGTTCTCTGTGGAACTACCTTGCTGGTATGGTTTGGGAACCCAACAAACAAGGTGGTGCAGTGAACAGCCTAAATCTTGCAAGTATAGCCATCAAGGAAACCAGTCAATGTTCTTAGAGGGTCCCCTGATACTCCTTGACGATGGCGTTCGAGGCGTCGAAAGGGGTCGAGGTTGCTCCTTCGGTACCAAGGGGCACTGAGGGCAACTATCTTGGTTTGGGGCTGATTCGCTTGCGGATTTAGGGCATCAACCACTGGAAGACAGCAAGGAGCCAAGTCGGATTCTACCCCCGCCCAGCTTAGCGAACAGTCCCATATCTTCCCCCAAACCTTTCAGTTGAGTGGTTGATGCGATTCTTTGTTGTTTGAAAATGGATATCCTAAGGATTTTGAAGTGGTTGCCTAGTAAAACTCATACAAGCTGCTTTGTTTCACACGCTGCAATGACACCACTGGTAACTTCTCTATGAGTGTTTATGACGATGTTGGTGCTTGACTGCTAGCGCCATGCAAGCCCCTTTTTTGTTGCGCGGAGCAGTATTAATATAATGTCATCCCCGGATTATTGTAGCTGGCAGATAAGTAAAGGATTTTTGTCTCCAACAGTGAAGGATCCCTGAAATGTTCCCTTTTGTTTAATCTGGAGGACGCTACTAGTCAGGGATCCCCCCCCCCCGGAAAAGACAAACAGCAACACATATTTCACTATAAAATGCACCACCAGTTGCTTCCCCGACAGTCCTGCGGATGAATCCGAAGTTAACATTATGCTGAGGCAACTTCCGGCGTGGTCACATACTTCATTCACTTCCCACCGAGCCCCAGACCAAAGCCCACAGAAGACATGTGACAGCTTAGCCTTATTTGGAGCTTATTTGCTCTAACATACCCTTGATGTTTGTCGTACGGGGTATGTTCCAGGGATCTGGTGGTAGAGCCTTTGATTCATGACCATCGGCCTCGAGGTTGCAAGCTATGCTAAGGTCTCCTCCGGGAATCTTCGGGTAGACCACATATAGGGGCAGCTTTTTTGGGGGGGAACCCAAAATAAGGGTTTTTCTTGGTGGCTCCCAGCCATCCCCTTAGCTTTTTAGCCTGTTAGTGTTTAGTGGGGGGTTACAGTTAACCCACTAAAAGTTAAACTTTTAGCAGGGGAGCTAAGGGCAGCCCAGTTTTCTTCGTGGTGTCCGCTCAGATCCATCCCAGCAAGAACACTTTCACAAATATCCACAGACGCACATGGAACGGAGGATGCTCTGTTTTCCTGACTTTATACAGCTTTTGCAGGGCTCCCGAGATTTCCACGTTAAACATCGCCCCACAAGAAACACCACTTTGGCTTTGGTGATGTAAAACACCACACAGGGTGACATATGTTCGGAAGCCTGTTTTGCCAAAGCTCAACTTTCGAAGAATGGCTATGTTTAACATGTTTGTTTCACAGGTTGTGAAGGTGTTAGTTGTGGTATTTGGGTATGTGTCTAAAAAACAAGATATGCACCAAACAACTGGCCAAGGGCTTTCTGTTTAGCGGCCCTGCAAACCAAGGTGAAAAAGAGTACCTGCACAAATACACCCAAACGAAGCTTTGCGAATAGTTTGTGTGGTTGTGCGGTGTTTTCTTCTCCAGGTGACTTATGTGGAATCACACTCTACTGTGGATGGACGAAATCCTGCAGCACCTAAAACCCCTGGGGTGATGCTTCCCCTGTAAATACCAACAACCAATGGTTTGCTATGGTTTCAATGGTGCAGGATTTCGTCCACCCACAGTATTGCAGAAATGGGGCGTGCATCTTCGACCATGGCCTTTCTACGACAGCACAAGCGGGATCTGGGATCGTGACCTGAGGCGCGAGTCTGCAGGCTGGGGCTAGCGGCCTGGTTTCGGATGGGTTTGGTTGGTCGGCACCCGGGCGTTTCACCTTGCAAACACATCTCAGTTGTTCAGTAGCACCTTTTTTTGGTGGCTGCCCCACAACAAAATGTGTTTTCCCCAAAAAGGGTTCCCTTTTTTCCAGGGTCACTGAACAACTGAGACATTGCCTTTCAGGTTTTGTAGGTAACCAATGGCAAGCGCCACCGCAGCAAACTTAGGTTGAACATGGATCGAAGGGTTGCCTACGTGGTAGCGAAGCGGATTGGCTGCTATGGGCAAGTTATGGCTGGGTAGCCTGGCGACGGGAACCAAGCTGTGGTCTCTGACTCAAGGGCCCCTGAGCCCTCACCGTTCTCTCTCTCTCTCTCTCTCTCCCTCTCTCTCTCTCTCTCTCTCTCTCTCTCTCTCTCTCTCTCTCTCTCTCTCTCTCTCTCTCTCTCTCTCTCTCTCTCTCTCTCTCTCTCTCTCTTGGTCCCAGAGTACGTACCTGCAGATCTACCACCAAAAAGGGGTACGAACAGGGGTTAGTAGGTGTATATCTCCAGTTATAGCTAGTACTCAGGCGTCTACGCAAGCAAGGGTCCAAGTACCCCCCGAGGATGGGGTGTGAACGACAGTTGCAGTCCTGAGAAAGCACCATTTACTTTCACCCTAATATAAATTGATTGGGGAAGATCGAAGTTCCGACAATTCTGACTCCCATGGGCCCATGACTAAAATAAAAGTAACTCAACTGCTCATTGTAGGCCGTGTCGCTCTCCAGCAGCGGCGAGGCTCGACAGGCGAGAAAAAGTGGAGACTTGAGTCGGTACCCTTTTTCTAAGTTGAAAGCCGTCAAGGGCGCGCCTACCTTCCAGCGGGATTAGGATGGCAGAACCAACAGCTTCATCAATTGCGTAAAGAAGTCGGAAGCTAAAAGGAATATTTATTCTTTTTGCAGGGCTTTAAGAAAAAAAAGGGCCTTAAATCGGATCCACATACCTTCAATCACAGGTGGATTCCACCGGTTTCAGTTTGGTTCAAATCATTTAGGACCCATCAAAATAGAGGGATGCCGAAGTGCGCGTGAGGCCTTCCGGGAATCTCCTTGTATCACCCAATTAATATGGTTAAACACCCTTTACCCATCCATTATGTATGTAGGGGGCGACTTCTTTAAATCCTAAAACAGCGGGAACCTTCCGTGATCTTCCACCAACGCACTTTGACCGATCCTGCATTCGAAATGGGGGAAAGCAAGAAGCTTCGGCCCTTTGCGGGACAAAGGGAGACTAAGGCCAAACAATGAAAGGCCTTATCGGGGTGGGCGGTCAACTTCCTACCTCATCCAAAAGAACCTTCAACCAGCTAAGACCTTGGTTCAGCTATTTGGTGGATTGGTTTTCATTTGACCCCCTGAGAAAGTGGGAAGCTAGCCTCACTCCCAGCAAGCCCAACCAATTCACTTGGGGGGAGGGGCAGCTGAATTCATTCCACCTGCCAGCCACCAGTAAAGACAGAATGCATTCCACCTGACTTGCCCCCATCTTTCGTGGCTACGAAGGCTAGGTCCCCCGGCTAGGTGCTCTTCTCTCCCCTTTTTTGGTTGGGAGGGTTCCCCTACTAAACTAGACTACCGGAAAGAAACAAAATCATCGTGTACCAACTTCTTCTAGCCTCTCTCCTGGAGGACCTTAGTGGTTTCCATTTTTTTAACCCACCAAAAGCTCAACGCTTTTGGTGGGGGGTATCTGAGGGCAGCCCATCGTTTCGGTGGCTACGAAGGCGTTCCACCCGCGGGGCTGGGGGCGTTTTTTCCATCGCGAGGAGTCCCGCGGGAAGCTGCTGCGGCGGAATGTGGAGGTGGCCCAGGCCACGAGAAGATGTTGAGCGCAGATCCGGAAATAGGAGCAGCGGCCGGTCGGTTTTTATTTTTATGGGTTTTGTGTTTTTACCCCGTGTTTGTTTTTTTTTGGGGGGGGGGTGCGGGGGGTGATTTTTTTCGTTTTTTCTCCCTAGGATTCCATTTCGCACCTTTGGTCAGAAGCCCTGGTTTGTGATGATGCCCCATACGGTTACACAGAAATGGTCTCACTCCGATGGTTTCGTTTCATTTCGTGGTGCGGACGCATGTATTTTCGCAACCATCCACAGTGTGAACTACTTGTAATTCATTGCTTGGGCTTGTTCTTTTTTGGAGTCAGAATATTTGCTGCTACCTAGCAGCCATTAACCCCGTCTCGGACTTTTTTGAGCAGGCTTAGGTGGTCGAAGTGCTCAGTGCTACCAAGTCTTTGAAAGAATGTCTTCCGAAGATTCCAGGCGAGCACTTGAAGGTGTCGTTCTTGGGAGGAACCAAAGATACTATGGTTTCCCTGTAAGGGTAATTTGAGGGTCCAGGTACCCAATGTTTTTTCTGGCTTTCAAAACGGGAAATCACCATTTGGGGCAAGACTCCAATTTTGGGTATACCTCAAAAAGGCACACCCACCTCTTGTTGTTTCAGGAGGGCTCCTAGCTTGTTAAAGCGGAAGGCACGGAAGACACGGTGCGTCGACAAGATGAGTGGCCTATTTTTGTTGAATTGGAACCCCCAAAATGGTGGGTTTTCAACTTTTGGTCTCCCTTTACAACAACCAAAAAGGGTTCCCTCAAAAATACCCAAATCGGCTACAATGTCTCAAACAATGGCTTCGGTTTTCCTTTTGGTCTCCCTTTTGCAACAACCCCCCAAAAAACAAAACAACAACAAAAAGCGAAAAAGAGCGTGCCCCTAAAAAAGACACGCCGACATGACCAAGTGAAGAATAACAAGCGGTGTGGGATCTTGGGGGATCCATCGGCGCAAACCCCGAGGTAGACTCCAGGGTGGCTTGGGGAAGCACCACTCGACCAACATGGGAGATAATGCCGTCGCGTCGGGGTGATCAAGGCTTTAAGGGACAAGTACCGCAACCTGAACAAAGTACCAACTTAAGAATGGTGGGTATTGCCCACCAAAGTTATGTACCAGGATTTGAACAAGTACCAACTTAAAAATTGCAAAATAATGGGATGATTTCCCTCCTTAAGGCTAGTTTGGCAGGTCCCCCGAAGTCTGCAGGGTGCCTTTTCCCTTCGCTTGCCCGTGCTTCAGGGCTCGGCAGATGATGAGGCCCGGATCCTGACAGCCGTAAGGTTCCGGAACCGATCTGTCAAATGACAACGTTTGCTTCATTTGCGATTCTCACCCCTGACTTTCTGAATCTTCTTTGTCACCTTTTGGGATTTTGGACCAGTTGAGTGGTAAATGCAAAGTGTGGCTTCTTTTTCGCCAACCCGCTCAGGAAGTGAGTTTCTGGCGTACTTTGTGCGAGGTTTGCCCTGAATTTCCAGTAGTTAGTTGTCAAATGATTCCATTCAGGGCTTCTTGACATGTGCCCAGACACCCAGTGGTAGCCTTGTTTCTCGTTTTGGAGTCATTTCAACTGCCAAGCGAGGGCGCGCATTTTATCCCATGACTGGGGCCTCGACAATTCTAGCGCAGCCAAGGGGCTGAAGCTCCATATCTAACCTGGGAGGTTGGTGAGTAAACCCATAGCACTTTTGGTGAGTGCTTCCCATGTCACTCCAATACCAATAGATGGTGCGTGACTTCCCTAAGTTGTGCCTGAAGTGCCTAAGATGTCTGGGTTTCCTTTCATTTTCCTTAGACCTTTTACACGACACCAAGAGTCACCGTTGTTTGCTTTGTTTTGGGAGCTAAGTCAAATACCACAACGGCTCCCGAATCGACTGGGAGCCGTGTGGGGTTTCCTTGGAACGCCATGTGGGGTGTGTCTCTTTTTAGGTTGGCCCCGAAAAATAGTGGTTTTGCTGGGTTCCCTTTAAAGCCATCCACAAGGGGGTACCAACTCCAAAAGGACGCACGCAAATAGAGCAGGGCTCCCCATGTTTGAGACATATCCAGCTCAACGGCGGCCCTTCAAAATCCCTTGTTGCCGGACCAAACCTGAAATCCACCCGAAGGGTTTCCTATAGCCACAGGTTTGCGAATTTAGTTAAAAAAAAAAAAAAAAAAATGGGCCAGAAAAAGCAACATGGGGCTTTGGTCCTTGGTTTGTTGATTTTTTTTGGGGGGCTGTGATTTGTGGATCTTTTTCCGGACCCCCCTAAAACCCCCCTATCTTCTTTCATTTGCTTAGGAAGCTGCTTTATTTCCCCTTGTCGTTGTTAAAGGGAATCCATCACTACTGGATGTTTTGTCCAGGGTGCTTAAGTAAATGGAGGTCTTGCACCATGTTCTGTCACGGGATGCCACTCGGCCATTCAGGAAGACGTGCAGTTGGTGGCCTGTGACTCTGGCGGCACCTCTACCAACGCCAGCCACGTGGCCGGCATGTGGATTGAAGGTCCGTGTGGATCCTTTGAAAATTGGGTTTGCCTTGTTTTGGGGCACCCAGGTTTTTCTTCTTTTCTTTTGGGGGGGGGACCAAAAGGAACGCCTACCGTTTTGGAGGGGTGCAACCTAACAAAAAGAGGAGCCACTATAGCCTTTGGGCCGCGAGTGTTTTGTTTTCCTTCAAAGCCATGGGTTTGTTGGGTTCGCCGCCGCGAGAGCCGCAGATGTTTTTTGTTCCTGGGATACTGAAACCAATTTGTTGGTATTTAGGGGAATCGATGCATTCCAGGGGTTGTTATTGACAGGACTCATTCCGGGGGTTGTTGTTCTCGTGTTTGAGGAAATCATCATTGTTTGTTGGTACTCACAGCTGTCTCCGAGCGCTGCGAAATGGTCTTCGCCCATCACCTGAAGCAAGTTGTTTTAGGGTCCCATCCACTACCCCTGAAGTGGGGATGCGGATGATCCATTTGAGAGGTCCATCTCATGGTTTCTTTCGGGGAGGCATTGCATACGACTCTTGTAGCCGCTGTGTTTTTAGGTGTCCTCCGGGAGGCCCCTGTTTGGGCCACAATCTCCCGTTTCAGTAGGCTCATTGGGTTGCTTTATTGGGCTTTGCGCCCCTCAAACTATCCTTAAAGCGAAATCAAATTTGGTTGACCATCTCGTATTTTTTAGGAGATAGTTTGAGGGTCGAGGTAAACTTTAGAACTTTGATTGAGCAAAACTGAATGGTTTCATGGGAGTTCTAGTGCCGGGAGACATCAACCTGTTGTAACCATCCCAGAGGGTCCCTTGGTACCTGAGGATGTACCAAACAGTTTCAACAAGGGTTCCAAAGTACAAGGGGAGCCTCAGGAGCCATGAACCCTTCCTGGGTTTTTTCATTTTTGGGGGCCTTAGTCTAATGGCCGGCCCACTTGGGCAACCCGCAAAGGGTTGTCGGCCGCCTGCAATGAGGCCCACGTACCTTCGAGATCCCTGCCCCCAGCCAGGCGCGGACGGGTCGCTTCCGAGAGGCTTCGATTCGAGCTTTAAGCGGGGATTCCCGGACAACATTGAGTCCCCACGTCCACTAGAAAAAGGCGTCATGACCCTTCAATTTTGGGTCACAACCCCATTTTTGAAGGGTCAAGCCAACATTTGACCCATTTGGAGGGTTTAGTTGTCAACAGCCCCGGAACCCTCCAGAACCCTCCCTGACCCTCCGGAGCCCTCCCTGAAAGCTGCCCTGAAGGGAGCCTTTCTGGGCAGAGACCCCAATAGCTTTCAGCTGTTGAGGAAAAGCAATGGCTGGGTTCATACAACCACTTCCCAAATTGTCATCATCTACACTGGTTCCATTCTTTTAGCGGGGATTGAACCCTAGGGCCAAGGTGAAAAGGCTGGCTCCGCTGGTGCAACTTTGACCTCTCGGGTTTTCGCGGCTTGGATTGTCTTTCATCGTTTCCCTTCAGCCCGCATGGGTGCAGAACCAATCCGAATTTGGGCGTCGAAACGAGCAAATTTAACTTTTGCCAACGAATGGGTTTTCCGTATTAAACCATTAAAAGTTAAAACAAATTTAGCAGGGGAGCAGAAAGCAAGCGAGATTCCTTCAGTCAACTCCGCGGAGTTCCTTTGTCGAATGCCCAAGCTAGGATGTGTGAGGCGGAGGATCCAGCAAGCGCAATTTGTTCGGAGGCGGTCGTTCTGATGCACGCGCACCAAATTTGATATGCCCCCCCAACTTGTACTTTCTTCAGACATCCCAACTTGCAGTTGCCTCAGAAACCCAACGGGTTACCCGTTTTTTCCTACTGAGTGTCAAGTTGTTGTCCTCAGCTGTAGTTTCCCCTGCAAAAATATAGGACACCTCATGAATGTGTCATCGCAGAGGGGACGCCTCAAAACGCTTTAAAATGACTGCGAAAGGGACATGTATCCCAATACCAGTTAGAAGCAAGACCTGCCTACCTGTCTATCCGTCTGAGGAGTAAAATCGGCACCCTGCACACCGCATTGGGACATCCAGGAAGCTCGCTACTTGGGTTCGGAGAATTTTAGTCTCACTCCCTGACTTCATGGCCTTTGCACTGTTTCGGTTTGGACCATTTCAGTGGTAAACACACAGTTCCTGGTGACTGTGCCTGGCCACTCCACTCGATCGGACGTTTGGCAAAAGTCGAGCGGGGTTTGAATCAAAAACTCGGCAACCTTCCAAAATTGCGCAGCCCGAGTGGCTTCCTTGTGGCTTCCATGTGGTTTCCCTTTGCGGCTTCCCTTGAAACCAACTTCCAGCATGACCCTTGGCCCTGCAAGAAGCGAACATCGTGGGAGGTGCCATTCACCTTGAGCCTGCGGATGCAGTGGCTGGGCGACGACCCCCCCAAGCTCACGCCCAACCCGGCCGCTGGGCCGAGCATGGCTGGACGACAACTTGGGGCGGGTGGCTGGGCCAGGCTGGGGAGGATTTTGGGGGGGCGGAGGGTCCTGGGGGGAGGGGGGAGGATTTTTGGCAGAACAGGATGCTGGAGGGCAAGACTCGGGGGATTGGCACGGGGAATTAAAATATGTTTGCTGAAGAAAGGGGGGTGATACCCCTGGAGATGCAAAGGGATTGGCGGGTTTACCCCATTTAAAACCAATTCTCAGGCCAAGCAGGGTGTTTGCAACGCCCATCCCGTTTCGACCTGCATACTGTTTTTGCTGGTTCATTGCAACCCGCTCTGTTCAACTTTGGGTTACGGGAAATCCAGTGACGCCTTTGGCATGTTCTCCCCGCCATGAAGATTCGCATCCAAGAAGCAGGTTTTAGTCCTGGTTTCCATTTGGCAGGGTTCCATTTTGGGCACCTATTTTTGACCCACTGCCATGTGTGTATCTTTTCTTCAGGGTACCCGTGTTGGGGTTGTTTCAAAGGGTTCCCATTGCGTTTCTTCCAGCTTAAAGCCAAGCAGCCAGGCCATAAGCTTGCGGGTCTGGAGCAACACATGGAGCGGCTTAAGAGGCCAACGTCTTGTTGAAATTCGCCAGCGGTTGTATTGACATGTGTGGCAGTGCGGGCACGGAAGCGCCCTTCAATGAAGGGGGAAGGTTTTTTTTGACCCTGACGTGGAACCCACCAGAGAAATGGTCCGTTTCAACGGTAAATTGTCCAAATCCAGGACCCAAACGTCAGCTTCCTTGGCAACGTGGACAGGGGAGGGTTTTTGTTCCTGCCACTTTATACAAACCAAAAATACGGTTTTGAGGGGTGACGTAGCGGGTTCTTTGCTTGGGAACTGAATCAGTTGGAGGCTTCTTCAGGCGATGCTGTATGTTTGTCACAACACCCCCGCAGCGGGTGCCTTTGTTCTACTTTTGGGCTTCCGCGCTGCAACGAACAACAGGTACCTGGAGCAATGACCCTGGGTGTCTTTTCAAGTGGATCCCCCAATATGATGGTGTTCCTCTGGGTTCCCCCCAAAGCCACAAGAAAGAGGTACCTTCAAAAAAGCCGAAGACGAGCCACCCAGGCGCACTCAAAAACTCAACAACACAGGAACCCGCCCATGCGCAAACTTGATGAGTTTCCCTGGGCAGGGGTGGTGTTTCCAGGGGGAAATCTCGAGAGCCACGCATTTCCGATTGTCCATTGAACCTGCGCCGTGTAGGTGTTGGCTATATATTTGGGATTATCACCCAATTCCGGCGGCAAAGTGCAAACGGCATGTTTGTTGATCTTCTTGAGGGGTCAAATTGTGCTCAAATTACAACCAAGGGAGCCTTAGGGTTAGGGGGCAGTCAGGCAGTTCCCACAGGCAATGGCTTCAAGTTGCTTGGATTTGCTTCACTGAGGCGTGCATCGTTTGCTGGACCATCGATCCGGAGCGGCCTGGAAGTCAGAGCATACGCCTGGGGTGTTGGGATACCAAAAACAAACAGCTACAGTGACCACATTGCCATAGTGGTCAGGGCCCCTCCCCAAAAAAGGGGGGGACCTCCCCCCATAAAAAGGAACTGATAAAGCCCCTAGTAGGCCCTATTCGCAACTATGAGCTTTTATGGGGATTGGTGACTCGGCTCCTAGGGCGGGCCTTTGACAACTACAGGGACCACCGAAGCAAAGTAGATCAGTCAGGAGGCGTCACCATGTCACGTTTTTGGAAGGAACGTCCAAGTCATTAATCTTAACTTTCAGTCAATCAAACGATTGGACCACACTCATTCTTGGACCCCTTCAGTATCTATGAATCTACGAACTCCAACCGTTACAAGGGGGCTGACGTGCCTAGACATACTGATGTCCTGGGCAGCAGCAAGTGGACCAAACACCTTGATCATGGCAAATATTTTTGCTGGGGGGAGGCGGCGCAAGACAAATAACAGCAAACCAGTCCTGCTGGACATGCACATGACTTGTGTTTGCGTGTTTGATAACGATGTTCCACTCATTTTCATTGGCCTGTGCGAAGTTTCTATCCCATCCGAAGTTCAACACTTCCGGAGAACTGGGGCACCAGTCTCTTGCAAGGGTTCCCCAGCAACCTTGTTGCGGTTTTCCCTGTGTCCAAATCCACACAACGACTGCACAACGGGCAAGGTGAACTTAAGGCTCCTTGTCCTCGGACGTAAGGGACATGGCCTCACAAGACAAAGGAATAGCAGCCCTGCATCGGGGTGCCGCAGTGGACCTTTTACGTGAATCTCCACGTTAAGACAACGCTTTGGGCGTTTCAATGCCATTGATGAACGCCAAAATGCTGTGGCTAGTGAAGGTGTGTCTCTCTACTCGTGCTTGATCTGCCCTTCAAGTGGTGGGATTTGTCTTGGCCACGTTGAGTGATAGTTTTTCAGGGCCCTTACCCTAAGGGTCCCATGGTATCTTGTTGCACTTTGAACCCTTCGGTGCATCCTGGGAGGCTTCCTCAAGGGGACCCAACCTTCAAGGGGTTGATGCCCCATTCTTTTCAACCGTCGTTCTTTCCAAAAACCGGATCGGTGTTCAACCCGGGTTTCCGGAGGTTTTCTAGAAACAATGATCCCTGGAAAGAATGGAGCTGAAAAGGTTTGGAGTCTAGCCAGGAAGTTTCCGGGATCCATTTGGGTCAGGATGTTTCCCGCTCCGCCAAACTGGTGGTTTTGGGTGAGGCAACTGGGTGAGGCAGCTGCCCCAAACCTAGCGATCGCAGGACACGCAGCCGAGCGAAGACAAGGCACAGCTGGGAGCCCAAGCGGAGGCATCTGGCTGCGAGCACATGGACCTTCCAGTTGCTTGAGAAGTTGTTTTCTCACTCCCTGAGTTCATTGACTTTAAGCTGACTATTTGAGTGGTAAATAAAAAGTGTTGACTTCCAGCCACTGGTTTACATTGGTTTTATGCCATCCATTTGCCTGGCAAACTCGAATCTTTCCTTTCCAAAAGGTCACCTATGAGGCTTCGGAAGCTGATCAATGATACTGTGGATTGTTGCCAAATCCAATTTCGCACCACTTAGAAACCATGGACAGGGGAATCATGGTATCCAAGTCACTACAGTTTCAGCCTTTTGACCACTAAGCCCAGAATCGGACACCGTCCCGATTAATACATTGGGGTTGATCAATATGGGGTCAACTGCAATCCTTTCGCAACAGGACCACATATTGAAGGATCAGCGGGCTCAGTTGCAAAACAAGTACTAAACACATGTGTCTCCTGAGGACAAAATCTATCCGGAGCAACATTAGACATGCGCCGCTCGAACTGGAGACATGCACAGTTGTGTGTATGTGTGTGCGCTTGTTTTTCGGGGATCCGCAAAATGGTGGTTGTCCGTTTTGTTTTCCTGCAACACCACCAAAACAAGGGTACCCTTCAAAGCAGACACACCCAGGTGGTAGTAGGTTTTCTTGTTTTGGGTACCTCCCTCTGCACGTCACGGATGATGACGGAAATTAGGATCAAGGATCTACCCATTTTACAATTTGAACTGCCTGGCTTTTCGACGAGCATATTCCACACGATGCCTGGCTTGCCAAAAAAGCGTAAGTTTTCTCGCGGAGGTATCTCAAACTGGTCGCCAAAACACATCACGGAGGTAAAGGAAGGCGACGACAATTTCCTCCTTAAGAAGTGTCTTGTCCCGGGCGCCCATTTTACTAGCTGACATGGTTTTCAGTAGGTGACTGCTGTTTTTTGGGAACACATGGGGGTACAACCTGAGTTTTCCACCTGACTGGGCAGGTGAAGGTAGACAGACCCCAACCAGAAATAGGTTCGGCCGCCCTTGAATTCTTGCCATCTTTTTGAGGAGACTCCTGTACTAGGCGGCGATTGCCATGCCCAATATTTAATTTGAGCGGAGGCCAATTTCGCAGCTTCCAAGCGCTTACCAGAAGCCATCATGTAAAACATAGAGGCAAAAACAACACCTAGTTCTTACCCTTCATCGTAGTTGGCAAGGTTTTAGGTTTGTTGGTTTTGCGGTTCAGCTTTTTTGTAGTAGGGGGCTGCAAAAAACATTCGGTTTTTTGCAAGCCCATACCGTTTGGGTTGTAAAGCTACAGTGGCTTGCCTGGCAGCGCTGCGAAAGGGAAGTCGAGGAACACACCCCAGGTCCAAGTACCTACGGATGTGGAATCAACATGGGTCAAAGTCCGTCCTTGGAAAGCTCACTTCCAGAGTTTCTGGGATTTTAGCCACTTAAAGCGGTTGGCACCTTTTTGGTCAGCAAAATGTTTGGGGCGACTTTTTCTGGCCAATCCGCTGCGATCGGAAGGGCAAAAACCAGCCTTCTGGCTTGCTTCGAGGTTTTTTCGCGGTGTGGATGGCCAACCTCCGCGCATTGCTCCTCGGCAGTAAGGGCCTGTCGCCTTTACTGGGTATGTCCATGTGGGTGAGGGTCAAAAATTAAGCCACCAGGATATGGATCGCAGGTTTTAGTCTTTGGCTCCATTTGCCAGAGGGCTGGTTTGAAGGGACATTTACGTGCACACGCACACCTTTTGCTGTTCCCCCTATTTGGAGACACATCCACATCATGTTTGGGATGCCTTGTTCATTCTGGAGCTCTCCAAATGAGCGCCAGCACGCGGAGACCAAACTGCCACCGCTGCTCGTTGCATTTGTTGAAAGCACCCCAACAGAAGCAAAAACGAGTCTACAGGGCCTGACCTTGGCAATGAACACGTTGTGTCTTGTCTACAGGAGCAATAATTATGACAAGAACAACAACTGAGCGGCGTTTGTTTTGCTCGCAAGCTAGTTTAATAGGGAGAGGGACATGGTTGTTGTAAATGTGCCCCGCGCCACGCGCGGAAGCATGCGAAAGGCAATTTCTTTCGCGGAAGGTTTGCGGAAGCCTTGTGGTTGATACGAAATTCATTGTTTCAGTTTGTCTGCGTGGAAGAGCACGGAGAAACGACTACAGTGGAAGCAGAAAGGTGTTGCTGCAAACAAGAAACACAACACTTACGAAGAGCAGTTGCCAACAGCAAGCCAAAAAGACCAAAACAGCCGGCGGATTTCGTGGAAGGTTTGCGGAAGGTCCGCGGAAGGTTCGCGGAAGCTCCGCGGAAGGGTGGTTCCGGGTTTTTGCAGGCAAGTGCACATGTAGAACGGGTAGCCCAATGCAGCCCAAGCCTACACAGGCTGCGGCGAATCATTTTGCTTTCCTTACTTGTTCAAAGCGACTTTCCTTTCTGCGCCAATACTCGCGGAAGCAAATCTTGCAAAACATGCGCCGTGGAAGGTTTGCGGAAGCAAGCAATGAAAAACACGTGCCGCGGAAGTTGGTGGAAGGGACCTCTTGGCCTCCGCGAGGATGCGGAAGGGTCCGCGGCAGCTTGAATAATGTTCAGCAAGTCTGTAGGGAATCAAAAGCAAAGCTCTGACAATAACACGGTTTATGCGGGGGGAAACAGCCTGCAGATGAAGAAGGTCCTTGTGGGGGTACCTTGACTTCAACGCATTTGAGCTTCCGAAGTGGACAAAGGTAGGGCAGTAGATGGACTGCAATCCCGGCATGGTCAATCAACTTGTTTGACCCTGTATAGTATATGTCTAGAGGTTCATTCCCATTCTTTTCAACCATCGTTCTTTTCAAGTACCGGCTGTTTCCCCTGGGTTTTTGATGGTTTCCTGAAAAGAAGGATCCCTGGAAAGAATGGGGAAGGTACCCGTAGAATAATTACGATCAGCACATCGCAGCAATATCAAAGGCCCATATATGAAGCCATGGCCATTTGGACCCTTGGGGGGTTGATGTCAGATATATTCAGCCATAACTAGCGGTTCATGAACCCATACACTAGGGCTTCATACCAGGGGTTCATTTTCTGTATGCACGCAAACAAAAACAGCCTTTGACAATAAACTGGGTTTGTCGAACGATCATTATACTTTTGCTTGGTGGTTGGGTAACCATTTGGGCATTCAGCATCGCTGAACCGGTGCTTCTTTAATACGGGGCGCGCATGTATTCACAGGCGCCACAGATATCGGTAGCCCTCTTTTGTCGTTGTTGAACGGGAACCCAAAGGGAATAACTTATTGGCAACTCATTCAACATTCGCGAGCAAAGAAGGTGATGTTTAAACTCTGGGTGAAGTACTTCTTAGATCACCAGTCTGAAGTCAGACATGAACCTGAGAGTATTACTCATGAGCTTTCGATGGCACAAACCAAAGCATTTTGATTCGCTTGGAACCAGCGCTTCTCCACGAAACCTTGCAAGAGCCGGCGATTCACCGCCGGACCTCGGCCGAAGCGCTTCTGTGATCCCATGTTTTTTTTTTTTTTTGTTTTTTTTGTTTTTTCTCGGGCGTTGTTATTTTATTGGTCGGTGGTGAATTACCCAGAGGGGCCCAAGACCTCATTATTTAATTTGCCGTCGCATATTTTTTGGGTTTGAGCTTCTAGAGTGCCCTGCCTTAATCTTGGAAGTGGCAACTGGGATCTTCGAGACCCTCCTCTCGCTTCCATGCTGGGCCTTTGGTTTCCTCTCAAGGAAGCACACAAATTGGAACAAATATTATAGGTGGCTTGCTCGACTTTTTTGCGGCGGAGGGTAGTCTTTTTTGGGATGGTCAAAAAGGGAAACCAAAGGAAAAACAATCTGTTTTTTTGGTTGTTTAGGAGGGTGTGCCCGAAAGAACGACAAATCCATGTACGGCTGCTGGGATGAACTGTGATTCTGATTCATGTTTTTTTTGAACCTCAACATGTATATACAAATGAAACAAATCAGGCTTGTGGGAATGAGGGGCTGATTTCCACTTCTCTGCTCCCAGAGCACGGCCTCTCATTGGTATCACAATGGTGGCAACCCCCTTTCAACATCACAAAATGTCAATATCATGTTTCTCAACTGGCCCAAAGCGAATGGACGTGAAATAACCTTTTGGTTTCCCCCTGTTCATTTTAGTGTTAAACACAACAGAAGCAAGTCTGGGAAAGATTTGAATAGGTTCTGGTTCGTATTTTGAGGAGGCCGTGAAATCAAAGCAAATCCAGGCAGCAATGTAGGGGTACCTTCCCCATTGTTTCCAGGGATCCTTCTTTCTGGAAAACCTCCGGACACCCAGGGAAAGCGTGGGAAGTCAACCCTTAGAAGCAAGATGCGTTTGTTGATGCTCGGTCCCATTGGCTTGGATCAGGCTTTGATGCGCATGGGCAACGTGCTGACCTATGCGCCCTGGCGAATGAGCTGGGCGAACCGTTCCCTTGGGCGTACCTCAACCCCTCGGATGGGGTTTGAACCGAAGGACGGTTTGAGAACCTCTTTGGTTGGTTAGTTTGAGTCAAACCCAGAGCATTTAAGTGGGATTCTCGTGAGTGGGAGTGTGTGGTGCCATATCCTGGGTAATATCAGTTTTTATAGGTTTCGCTTTCCTAAGGGCTTGTGTGCGTGTGTGGGTGTGTGGATGTGTGCGTGCGTGTTGTGTGTGTGTGTGTGTGTGTCAGCATGTGTGTTTGGAGGTTTATGCAGAGATGTGTGGTGTCTTTTTTGCGGGGACCCACCAAAATGGCGGGTCCTGCTTGGCTTCCTTTTAAACATCCTCAATAAAAAGAGAACGACACCTGTTCGAGCAAAGTACGACACAGCTTCCTTGCTGAGGAGGAGTACTCTGCCAACGGCGGCACCGGCAGCACTAACACCTTCACCTCGGACTGGCGGGTGGGATGACGGCCAATCTGGCAGTTTTGTGTTTTTGTTGGTTGGTTTCTTTCTTTTTCTCGTTTTTTTGTTGTTTTTGCTCGTACCCCTTAAAGAATGTCGTGTTAAAGAGAAACCAAAAAGACAACCACCCACTTGGCGGTTGCGCAGTGACCGAAGCAATAGGTCTGAGCATACTACATGTTTGCTAAACATTGCAAGGGGCACATTGAAACCCTGTAGTGTGCAATGTCTTTCCGCAAGAGTGCAATGTGCAATAGATAGATCGACATGATTCTCAGCCCTGTAATTGGGCGTTGTTTTCCCATTTGCATAATTTTCACCTTTTGTTCGATGGTCTTTCCATGTGCAGGGAATATGAAGCACTGCAATTTGTGCCCACGCTGTTTCTCGGTTCCAAATAGGTAGGCTGTACTTCGACCCTACCAAGCGGCTTTTTGGTACCAGAAGTGCCCTTTGAACCCGGGCGTGTGCATAGCACATGTTGGTTTATACCCTCGATTTGCAGGTGCGATAGGTAGGGAATGACTCAGGGTTTGGAAATGAACCAGAAGGGGGATTCCCTTACAGGAAACCAGGGAGATGCCTTATAGGGGTCATTCCCTCATTTCCTGCTGAGAACCAGCAAGACTTTGAGGCTCTCCTGGCCCTTACACGTCCTCTCGGGTTCTAGAGGCCGCTCCAAGTTCTTCAAGCTCCGGCCAAGTTGGCCGCTTTGTGTGGGTTTCGCAAAGGGAGCAAAAAAGCTATACATCAACTAACCCCTAGGAGATCCTTTGCCCCCTGCCAACTTGAGGCGCCTATCAGACTCCGCTTGCCGGACGTATCGGTTCCTTTGGCCTACCAAATGCCCCACTTTTCCAGTGCCTGGTAGGACAAGAAGCTGAACGACGAGTCGCCCCATGAGGCCACATTGCTGAAGGGTTCCAAGATAGAGTCAGCAAGTATCCATATTTCGTGAAAGGCCACCAAATGCCATGGGGAACTTTCCCCGTTTCGTGGTGAAGCCCTTTTCAGATGTTTGTGCGTGTTTTCCGTGATGGTCATCCCAGGAAAAGGACTTTGATCAACCCCCAAGTCTCATTGTTTGTGCAGATGGCCAATATTTTTCTGGGACATGTGGCAAGTGGGAGATTAGGTGACACAAAGCTCCACTACTCTGGCTGAATGCAGGTGGAACCTCCAACGTTGCTAAACCGGCTGGTCGCTGCAAGTGGCAATTGTTTCAGTGAACTGCGATCTTTGGGAGAGGCAAATCCAGTGACCTTGCTTCCTGCACGAATCCACTCCAGCTTCAGAGAGAACGACCATGAATGTCACGTGGAAGCTCTTTGTCTTTTTTGTAGGAAATGATATTATGTATTGTCGGGGAGTTGTCTGACTTGTTGGGTCCAGAGGAGAGGTGAACAATACTAGTGGGTGGGAAAGTTTCGAGATTTGCCCAGAAGGGTTCTATCCATGGGCAGAAAAGGGGCCATCGGACAACTAAGACCACAACGGCATAAATTATAGAGGGCCCCAACTCGTTTTGAGACATACCTATATATGTAGCGCAAGCTTCCCCGTTCTTTGCAGCGATCCTTCTTTTCAGGAAACCACCCAAAACTCCAGGAAATGGCTGGTTTTGGAAAATAACATTGGTTGAACAGAATGGGGAGGCAACCTCCAAATTATTTGGCTGTTGATTTGTTGGAACAGCCGCCAAAATCGTTGGTGGACACACATGTCCATGTACAAAAGGCTCGCCAGAGAGTACAAACACTCAAACAGCACTCATACCCAAATGGGGCTTGCAACAATAAAACCCCCCTAAACAAAAACAAATATGGTCGACCTTTGGAAAAGCATGCCAAGTAGAGGGCTCCATGCACCTCAAGTAGCGGCACCTGCCAGGTAGTCATCGTCCGCACAAACACGCGGATTACCCTCTGGCAGCTCGGTCGATCTTCATCGAATTGGGGACTTCAAGATGAAGCCCATTACGACCTAGGGCCCAGTGGCATTGGTCAGACTCCTATGCTAGGAAAAAATGAAAACATGCAGCTCCAGGGTCAGTCTTCATGTCTTACGGACATTGGATCTCGTTTACTTCATTCAACTAGGCTTCTTGAGTGACTTCCACCAATTTAGGTTAAACATGTCTAGGTTTGCGCACGATTTTACCATAAAGCCACAAGTTCAAAATAGATCGAAGGGTTGCCTAGTTACAGGGGCGAAACGGATTCCGGGGATCGACTTGGTGATTCTCATGCGACCTTTTCTTGTTGGAAGGTTGGCAAGTGCTCAAAGCTTCCGAGGTTGAGATAGCTTGAGCCTTGAGCATCGGCTGAGGGTGTGTTGCTGCTTTCAGGTTCGGCCGTCGAGGCTACCTAAACAATACTCATTTCACAGCGAATCGACCTGACATGACCTTTTGACGTCCGTGATTTGGTCCATAGTCAAGGTTCCAAAGGTGATCGCCTTTTTGTTGCAGGTCCTTTCAGCAACTGAGAATGGCACCCTGTTGCTTGAATTCGCGATAGAACAATATTTTGACTCGCAGAAATGCATCAGCTCAACTCTTTGGCCGACTGTTGCCGCCACCTGGTGTTGTGTTCCGTAGTCACCCGCACACTTATGAGGGTCCTTCACCCAGGCCTCCCGTGGGTGCCCTTGTTCGCTTGTGTTTGTTGATTTTCCCTCTGGTGTTGGCATGTGTTTAGTTGTGCGCTTCTTTTTTCTGTTCTCGTTCTGTTCATGATTCTTGTGGGGAGCTGCAAACTACAACGTCGTTTTGCTACCATACCAAGGGTTGAACAGTTCCTTCTAATATTTCCAACCAAGAAGAGGGCTGCAGCGGTTCCGTGGAAGCCGTTGATATTTGCTTGGCCCCACGTGTTCGCGCTGTTGAGCATAAGATCTCGGGGGGTAAAGCAGCTCACTAATGTTGACCCCCTTATTAATGAACCAACAAGTTTTAATTAATGGTGTGTGTGTGTGATTCTGGGTGAGACGTGGTTGGAATCAAGCCGCTTCTGGAGGGTTTTCCCCAACCCCACTAATTATTAAGCTGGTTGATTGATTCGTATGAGGCTCAACATTCCTGTGGACGGGGGGGCTCCTCAACACTTTTCACTCCCAGGATCGATGGCAAGCCGGACTCCTTCATCGACTCCGGCAGTAGTGACCTGGCAAAAACCGCTTTTATCGCAACACAGTGCATGCAGACACCCAGCGGTACCCTGCTACTGTGGGTGGGCGAAATCCAATTCGCGCCAAACCATGGTTGAAACCATAACGTTTGTTGGTATTTACAAGGGAATCATGATTCCATGGTTTCTTAGGTGTTGCCGGATTTTGTCCTTCAGGAAGCTAAGCTATAAGCGGAAAGTCTGGAAGAGAGATGCTCTTCCGTGCAAGCCTTAGGAGCTGTTTTGACTATAACTTATGGCTAACTGGGAGTACATCACTCAAGACATGGTCCCTTGTGGCCTCCGGAATTCATGGGAAGTTTAGAATTTGCAGACAGCAAGTAGCCTTCCACGTTGCTGGTTTGGACTGTTTGCCTTTTCAGGGGCCCTTTGATGGGTTCCATGCAGACAGCGTAGCCGCAATTCATTTCCCAGGCCCGCGAGACTTCCAGAGCGGGGACTTGCCAGACGGCGGGGATATGTTGCGACGTTGGCTTCGGCGGGCGCATTCAAAAGCTTGGGGAACCGTGCTTGTGGCAACATAGGCTTTTACAGCTTGGTTTTCTGTGATACCAAGGGATACATATATATATATATGCTTACCTATGTTCATTATTGCTTCTCTTTCCGTGAAATCAAAGGAACCGCCTTCCAAGTGGTAAGGTAATCATGGGAACGATCTAGATCGGCAGAACAGCACTTGTGACTTTACAACCATGTTGCTAACCGTCGCAGTTCGACATCGTGAGATGCAACTTTGCAAATGAGAACACGCTGTCCGATTCGAGGGACGACGAGCTCTCTCATGATGAGGGTTTCTTACTTGGGGCAGAAAATGTTTGGCTTTGAATCCCAAGAAGTGGCTCAGACGCCACGACGACAACGGTATGCTTTCCAGCTCAACATTCATAGCTTGGATGTCAATGAATCATACGGATCGAATAGTCTTGCACGGGTCCTACGACCCAACACAAGGGCCTAAACAATGTGAATGGGGTTGCGAGGTAGTCTAAAACCAAGCTTAGTCATGATCATCACGATCTTGCCCCTCAACTAGGGGCAATTCGAGCGGCGTGGGAAATTCCATGCCAAGCCCCAAGACCATTCGGGAATCTATAGGGTCCGTTGTCCAGCGGCCGCTTTTGCACAGAGTTCAAGTGTTTTTGTTTCTTTCGGGGGGAGGAACTCCCTTCATGGGGCATAGTTGAGAGCACTAGGGTTCCCTACCGTTCTTCAGGGAGCCTTAAAGAAGCCCGCCCCCTTCCGAATGGGATTCCAAGCTCTCTCCAAGTGGCAAACTTGGGGGAATGCCTGTTTTTGGTTATCGAGCAAGCCGGGTGTTGGGTGTGATGTTTGCTCCTCTGTCCCCAGATAGGCTCCCCCCTTTCCAGTTGCTTTCTAATAAGCCACTGCTTAGCGTCAGAAGAAGAAATTGCCATTGCAGTATTGATTTAGGATTGGCCTACTCTAAATTATTGAGTCCTGGCTTGGCTTTTGGAAGAATCATGTTTGTCTAAATCGGTGTGACGGTTAAGTTGAGGGGAAGTAATCGTTGGGCTTCACGGTGGTTGCGTGCCTCATGAAACCCGAGTACAGGTTCATAGGCGATGCTCTAAGCCCATCGGTTGCTTTGCCTTCCGCCAGGCAAGCCGAACAAGCTGACTCAGAATGCTGCAACCACCAATGAGTACCTGCGCAGGCACCACGAGGGCTACATGTCGCCAACCGGGAGAGGGGTGCGAATATCCGCAAGCAGACAGACCTTTGCCCACTAGGTATGTGAAGTGGGTATGCACAAGCTCCTGGGCATGGTCAATTTTCTCACACGCTGGAACATTTTACCATTGTCCGAATTTCGCAGTACATGACCATCCCTTCCAACCTCAAAAAGGGCTTGTCTCAAAATGAGGGAGCCCCCAAAGAGAGTGAGTGGCTTCCTTTTGGCTTCCCTTCACCAACCAACCAGGGGACCCCCCAAAAAAAACACGACATACCCAACTCATTTTTATGGGACTTCCGGCCCAGACTCGGAAGCCCCAAGTCCCAGGAAGACATTGGGGAGAACCCCTTGAACGCTACTAGGTCCCCCAGTGCCCTTTTACGCATTTTTGGTTGGGAGGGTTCCCCTACTAAAATAAGACTACAGAAAAAGGGTACCCTTGTTCTAGCCTCTCTACTGGAGGACCTAGACTACCTGTGAAAAGAACGGCCAGGGCGGCCGGGAAAAAGATCAGACTCGGCGACGTCGGATGCCATTCAATCCCTGACACGAGTAAACACCCGTGAAACAACCTCTTGGTGGTGCCTCAAACGATCCACCCCTCCTATGTTTGGATGGGTCAGGGAACGTGGAAGAAGGGGGACCAACAGGCTATTTTGTGTGTATATTTTTTGAACATGCCGCACTTCTTGTGGTTTTAAAGTGACTTCAAAAGGACAATCACCATGTTGGGGGGGTGCAACCTTAAACAGGACACACCCACTAGGCAGTATCCATGGCTAGGAGCAGTGACGTTCTTCGGGACTGAGGCCAAACCAAAACATGTTGTTTGGCTTGATTTAAAGGGGCGCAAGTAAAACCACCATTTTTAGGGTTCCACTATTTCGACACACACCCACTTATCATCCAACGTGTGGCTCAGAATCGTAGGACGCAAACTCAAAGATGGTCGGACACGAAGCCCCATGTTGTTATGATGTCCATCCAATGGTCCCCATAGAATTCTTGCCCATGTAAGTGTCTTGCCACGCATGGACTTTGGATTCGAAAAGAGGTGCGGCCAGTGAAAAAGGGGGTGTGGGCCAAGCATATCATGGGACACATATGGTGGCACGGTGCGGAGGCAAGTGAACAAGACCACGTCCTACAACAAGGTCGACCCCTTCAACGGCAACTGGGGCCTGCACGGGGAGGCGTGGAAAAGCTTGGCTAGGTCCCCCAGGAGTGCCCTTTTACCGTTTCTTTTTTGGGGGAGGGTTCAATTTACCAAAATAGACTACAGAAAAAAAAGGGAAAAAAACGGTACCCTTATGCTAAGCTCTCTTTGGAGGACCTAGTTGGTCTTTCACTCGAAAGATAATTCATCCACTTGGACCCCCAGAGACATTGAGGTTTGGCGAAATCGTCAGTCTCCCTAACGCTGAAACTGGGTGATGTTCCTTCAGCAGCCAAAAGGAAGCCCCAGTTTCTGGAGACACCCGATGTGTTTTTCTACTGCATTGCCTCTGGAAAACGCACCTACATAGCTCATGTACGATGCTGTTCCTTTCTGTCGGAGCCTTCAAACTCGTATCCCATCTGGTAACGGTCCTCCAACTCAAAATCACCCCGACATGGTTGTTTGTTCCCTTTCGTTTCTCTCAACGCCAGAGGTGCGTAAATCAGTCTACCGATATCAGGAAATACCAGATGTGCGACACGAGTGTCGGGACATTGGGACTGAGCCAAGAGACTGTCAGGGGTCAGTCAATCGATTCGGGTGGGCTGGATTCTGTTACCATGCGGATTCCCTATCTCGGAGTATTCCTCTGAAGGATATTCCTGAGGATTCCCGATATGTCCGTGTGTGTGTGTGTGTGTGTGCTGCCCTTTTGGATTTTGTGTAATAACGCGTTGATGCACAACAGCCACCTCCAAACCGGTTCACAGATGGGATGTCAAATGAGGAGGATGGATGACCTATTTACCGCAAGCCAACGAGCGAACAAGAAATGAGAGGCTTGCAAAGCACCTGTCGGTGGGCGTTGTGAGGTTCGATTTTCCGGCTGGCTGGGTATTGGCCGCGTACGGCCTCTTTCACTGTACCAAGTTGCAGCTCCTCTTCCCTAAGTAAGTGAACGCCAACCCCGATTGATCAACCTTGCAGATTGATGAGGGGTGAGGCATTCTTTCTAAGAGTACTTTTTCTGTGAATCAACCAGGGCTTGATTAATCCTGAGGCAATGACAAGAGGTGGTTATCCGAATAATCTAAGGCCAACTTGCATACCCCACACGGCCGCAAGACTATATGTGGTACTGTGGATGGACAAAATCCTGCATCACGTTGATACCATGGGAAACCATTATTTGCTGGTTTTTTTACAAGGGAATGATCATTCCAGGGTCTCTTAGGTGGTGCAGGATTTCGTCCATCCAGTCCAGGGTCAGTTCACCCTTAGAAATAAGGGCTCTTTGGGCTCCTCGATAAACTTGCGAGTGGCAGGTCACCAACGTACGATTGTACCACGCGGCTTCAGACTCAGACGGACTCAGATAAATTCGTCCGCTTTGGGTCATTCGGGTGTGTGTGTGTGTTTGGCGGGTGCCTTTTTGGAGGGTGGTTTAAAGGGCAACCCACACGAACGGTTCTCTGTTTGTCGAGAACTTCCTTTTTTGGGACCCCCCCTTGATTCTTGGGTTGAATCTGTGCATGAACCGGAATTGGTTCCTGGTCCCCTGACGCAAATGCCAACGAACGGTCAAACTTGTATTCCCATGCTCCCATTTCGTGGTGCGAACCTCGCGGATTTTGCAATCCACGTGACTGCCCAACAACTTATCACCACGGGTGTCCTTTGGGTTTCGCGTTGAATGGTACATGGCGTTGGAGAAAAGGGAGTCCACTCCCCTAAACCGTGGATGTAAGAAAGCACTACCCTGTTGGACCCCCGTTTTGTGGGTGCCATTGGTGAAATCTGCAGCGGACTTTGAAACACGACACCTAGCCAAGGCGTGAGCTTGCCAAAGTCATCGAACCCCGCCATAAATCGTTATGACTTGTTGATTCAGATACTTCTGTCCACGCAAACGTACCCATGCCTAATGTTGCACTGGGCTGGCTTGCCGCTTCGAAGCTTGATGTGGTTGGCGTCAATGTGATGTTGCACCTTGCACCCTTTGGCTTTGCCGGTCCGATCCTGTTGAGAACGGCATTCTCGAGCCAGTGAATCTCAGTCGAGCCAGTGAATCTCAGGCAAGCCCCCTGAAAGGGTGTCAAAGCCCTTGGTTACCTAACCACGCAAACGGATCCACTGGGTAGTCTTTCTTTCTTCCGGTCCTTCTTTTCGGTTCAACAGGCCAGACCCAGTTGCTTGAGGCGAACGAGGGAACCGTCCTGCAAAACCAAACGCGATTTGCCACCAGGGGTCATAGCATTTCCCTGCAAACTCCGGGAAACTTTCCTCTTTGGGGCCAGTTCCGGCAAGCTTTCCTCGTGGGCGATGTGTAAGGGGGAAACTGGGTGTTTCTTTTTTGTGGCTTTTCAACGGGGAACCAACACGAATCCCACCACTTTGTTGGGGGCGTCCCCTGTTGAAGACACGCCCAAATATGGATGTCCCCAGCCCTCCAAAAAGGGGTCCACCGTTTTGAGAGCCCAAGGGAACCCGTTTGTCGTCCCGAATTGGACAACAGATTTCAAAAGCGACCGAGGAGCTCAGCGCCAACCAGTTTCCCGACAGCAAGCAGAGCTGTGAGGACCCGAGCCGAAGGGTCGCTTTCACTTTTTTGGGGTTGCAAAGGGTGTCAGTTCCCATTGATCCTCCACAAGAACCAGGGCTTCAACTCCAAATCCAAACCACCAATCCCAGGGACACAATTTTGGGGTTACCTGACTTGCTGGTGCGAAATCTGTAGGGAATGTGGGAATGAACCCAAGGGTCCCCTGAAAGGAAAGCGCCAGTTGGATGGTTTATAGGAGTCATTCCAATTCTCATTGCCTGCTGAGCACCAGCAAGTCAGGTGGTTTGGATTTGGAGTAGAAGCACTGGTTCTTGTAGAGGGTAAATGGGAGACCACGCCGAAACCACAAAACCACCAATTGGAGGGAAGCGGAGGGTTTGGTTCATGGCTTTCAGACGTTTTTGTTGGTTTCAATCCCGCTTTTTTGCAGCATTGAGACACGCTAAACATTTTGTCCTCTGATATTTCGGAAGGATTGGAAGTTTGTTGGCTTGCTTGCTGTACTAAATGCTGCGTGAACCGCGTAGTGGAAACCAACAGAAACCTGTAAACCTATTGGCAAGACTGTCAATCCAGCGAAACCTCGTACTTGGGTCAAGCCTGAAATAGGTCGACTCAGAAGGAAATTACAGACAAATCATGAAATGGCCATGTGCCAGAATAGGGGACACCCCAAGAATGCATGGGTGTTCCTTTCGGTTTCCCTTTACGACCTACCCTCAAAAAGAAGAGGCGTCCGATGAGGCCGTTTGATGGTGACGGCAGCAAGGGCCTTTCGGGGCCTTGCGTCGAAAGGTCAGCTGACAAACTCTTGTGGAAGAACTCCATGCCGACTCAAATTAAGGCTAAAAAGGGGGTTATTATGCAGGCTAGGTCACCCAGTAGTGCCCTTCTCTCCCCTTCTTTGGGGAGAGGGTTCCCTTACCAAAATCGACTACAGCAAAAAGGGTGCCCTTATGCTAACCTCTCCACTGGAGGACCTAGCAGGGGTTTCCCCGAGCCATTTCCCTTTCTGGAACCTCCAAAGTTGGCGATCGTTTCAATGGAAACCACCGTTTTGAACGGGGAATCCAGTGACACCTGTTATAGTTATAACATATTTGCGAGATGGTGGATTCGCTGCAACACGATGCAGTGATCAGCTGCAGTCTTGTCATCCTAAAGGTTGGGATCCGAGCTCGAGATTTGGTGAGGCAAAGGTGCTCCGGACTTGTTGGGTAAAAATATGGAAATCCCCGATGGTTGTGGCTTTTCTTGTAGCGGCCTACAGATTTCAGATAGGGGATCGTCAATCGTCCAGTCTACCTCTACTGCAGGATGTTTTTTCATTCATACAGTGGATGGACAAAATCCTGCACTACTTTGAAGCCATGAGAACATTGTTGGCATGCAGGGAAACCATCATTCCAGGGTGTCTTAGGTACTGCAGGATTTCGTCCATTCACAGCTCTTTCGCTTTGCCGCATGCGTAGGAGACCACCACTCCGGTGCCGGGCTGAGATCGATGGTCCACCAAAACTGCCGTAGTTGGTTACGTGCCCACGGTCGCTCAGGTGACTGTGTTCTTTGAGGGTATCAAGGGCACATACCACAGGTAACCCCAAAATTTGTTAATCGGGATAGGTGGTTTAGATTTAGATTTGAACCCCTGGTTGTTATAGAGGATACATGGGAAGGGCTTTTTCGGGGGGTTCCCTCACCACGCGAAATGATGCCGGTTTGATACTTTCAAGAAAGTTTGCCCAGAAGGTGCGCAGTGTAACCCCCTTCCACCAATTTACCTGGAACCTGGGGTTACATGTTGATGGGTGGGAACGTAGTTCCCATGGTTTCTGGTGGTAATTTTGGACGCAACTCCTTGTGTACTTCCATTGCCGCGGAAAATTGGCATTGCATGCGGAGGTTGAAGAACTCAATTTGATTGTTCCTTGTTGGTTCTAAAGGGAATCCATCACTAGAAGCTGGATGTGTTTGTTTTTTCCAGGCGACTTGCCAAAGCGGACATCTCGAATGGGGTTGTGGGGTGCTGAAAGGCAAATATAGTCGCAGTCATACGCGAATAAGGTGCCCAAGTAGTTAGCCCCCAACAGCACGGTGACAAATGATCATTAGGCCGTAATGACTTCCCTATGAATCCGAGTCAGTATATACCATCCCCGCCGCAACACTACAACTGACAGACGCTCCCTTTGAAGAAGATTGATATTGCAGGTACCCTGTCAGCGGCTCCAGCTTAGTCGGCGGGAGTGTAATTGAATGGGGCCCAAGCACACGACCAATTTGTTCACAACCCATACGGGTATTTGGGTGTGGGTCAACCATAGGCAAGTCAGTACCCAACACGGAACCCTGGAAAAGGAAACAAGGACCACAACTTGCGGTCCCCTGGTGGTATAGTTTTGACCCATACGGGTCATTGTCAACATAGTGGAGGTGGGTATCCCAACTAAACCAACCTTCAAAAGGGTAACTCGACAATAAACAAAGGCGCTCCCACATGAGCCACAATTAAAACTCGGGTAAGTGAAGGCTAGTAAGGGACGATCCCAGCCATAAATAGCTGCGGCTATCCGCCTTCTTAGTTCTTTACATGGTTCTGGGATTACGGCCATTTTTGTACCGGGTTTTGAGCAAGTGGCTCACATGTTCCGCTCCGCATTTTGCAGCGTTGGCTCCAGCGGCTCGACGCCCGGCAGCCGTGGCCCGTTTGGCCTTGGCGACTTTTTGGCTCCAGGCCGCGGGGTCGACCGCCGGATTTGTGGTTGGTGTGCTCCTGTAGGAAAGCTACGGAAAACTGGGGTCTCCTCCAAAGGATAAAGCACCTCCCTTCTCCAAATACCATTTTTTTCAGGGTGTGATGTTGAGCCTTTGCTAAAAAGGTGGCATTTGTCATGGCAAACCAGGGTTGTCAAAAATACCCAGAAGAAAACGGGCATTTGAAGCAGGGGGACACTGAAATTGAAAAACTGAACCTGGACATGTCGTTTTGTGTATCCCAAGGTTGGGCCAGTGAAGAACCAACAGACAACATAATTCGACGGTTGCAGAGTAATCAGTCACTTTAACACAAAATTAAGTCTTCATAAGAGCATCACATGTGCAATTGTGAAAACCTCTTGCATGATTCTCAAAGCGAATCAACCTTTTTGATGGTTTCCCCTTGTCCTGGCTATCATGGCCCCAAAAGTGTCGACCTATTTCTGGGTCCCGATCAGGGGCAACTGAGTATCGGTCGAGGTGCAAAGCCGTCTTCAAGAGCCCAAAGCTTCCATTGGTTCCAAGCCAGTTCGCCTGTTTGGGAAGTTCCTCCAAAAGTGGAGATCGGCTCAAGGGAAACCAGCCGCAAATGGCAGCTCTGAAGAGGATGTCCAGTGACCTCTGGTGCAGGGTGGCTGCAAACGTCACTTTTTGGTTGCCGGTTTGGGGTGTTGAAAGAGAAACGGGGACTGTTCCACTCACCTGACGTCATGACACAGGGGGATGCTTCTGCCGTGCTCAATGCTAAGACCTGCCCCCCTGCCCACCACTTCCCTCCAAAAGCAGGATGTAAACAGTGCTTGGGGCTGACCGACGCTTAGCGCTGCAGCATCTCTGCCCCCCCTTCACATCCTTTGAGGAGGACCCTTCTTGTAGAGTTTCCACGGTTTCCCTTGGCTAAACCGGGACATAATTCATAACTACGGGGAACACCCTCTCGATTTGCAGTTGTTTCAGCGAGGAAGCTATTGCTCCCATTGCTTTGGGGGTCTTTGGTTCTCCCTATAGCCAGCTAAAAATAAACATGTTGAGGATGCGATGAATATGGAAATAATATTTTGACCACCCTCCAAAATGGTTAACGTGTGGCTCTTTCTCACAGTTGGTCGCCGCAGCAAATGTTCGCACCCTTTTCCCTGGGCAGTCAATCTCATGCATGCAGCTTTAGTACAAGTTCAAGCAGGGTGAAAATTGACCGTGCCGCACCTGCCACACAAAATGCAACACTAATTAACTCTGATCAATTCGACCCGCTAGCGTGTTTTTTTTCCAACTTCTGAGAGGGCAAGACTTTCATCCTTCAGGTACATTTTGGAAGAGAAACGCTCTGTGAAAGATGGCCACAGGTCCTAGCTAGCATTTCTGCCCAGGTCCGACTACTTGGCGCCTGGGTCTACACCAATAGCCCTGTGACTTCAGTTGGGACTATTGCCCACAGGTTCGGAGGTTTGACCACTGCCCACAGATTCGGAGGTTCAGCTGTTCGGGGAGGCTCTAAGCCCTTACAGCATTGACAAACCGCCTGGTGGGTGTGCCCTTGGACCCCCAAAAATGGGTGGGTGTTGCTTGGTCTTTTCCTTAAGCCACAAAAACGTGGTCCTCCTCACAAAAATGCACATCCATACTGTGGATGGACGAAAGACTCTCCTGTACATACCAGCAAACAATGGCTTCCCATGGTTTCAAACTGTTGTGAAATGGATTTCGTCCATCCACAGTACATTGTGGCTTCGTGGGCCATGTCCATTTCAGGCTAGGGCCTGATTTTTTTAACCGTCTTGTCCACCAGGCGCCATGCAGCATTCCACGTCCTCCCCAGGAGGTGTGGCCGAACCTGCTCTATCTGCCAATGACCCCATCTGGCTGTGGCTCAAAAAACCTGTACCCAAAATGGGTTGCCCTGGCAAGTGGACACATGGACCAAAACCTGCGTAACCCCTCCTGTTTAGTTTTGAGTCACAGCCTATGAGCCAGCCCCGGTTTATTAATGGGGGGGGGGTGGGCCCCCCTCCAAAAGCGGTCTACTTCCAACCACTTAAACCCAATTAAAACACTCCCCCTATTGATAAACTGGGGTTGATTCGTAGGGGGTCAACATTAGGCAGCTTAAGGATCCTGAAAGGTCCGAACAGTCACAAGTTGCCCCCCCCCCATTCAGAAAAAAAAACACACACGCACACCAAAAAAACCACCCCTCTTGGAAAAGGGATTCTGTTGCAAAGCTTTCCCATGACTCCTATGACTCTAACTCATCTGAGAGCGCCAAAGCACCGAGCAACATGGAAGGGTGTTATATTCTGCCTAGTTTATATCGAGCTCACCGGGTAACTTGAGCTCATCATCATGTATACCTTGTTTCTGATGGTGGTTTTATGGTAAGTCTTGTTGATCCTTGCAAAGATATGTAAAAGGAGAGCTCTGGTCTTCACCTGATTGGCTCGCTGTTTGTGTCCTCGAGCTCACAATGTGCCCACCTCTTGATTGACGGGAGTGGCATGGGGTACCACTCATCCAAGTCATTTGCAGGTGTGGTAGCTTTCCCACCAGAACCCCACCTTGTTCGCAGAAGGCTGGTCTTATCAACCCTCCATGGTGTTCTGTGGCATTTTTGAGAGTTGCCTTGCAGGATCTCGAAAGGGAGAACTTTAAAGGAAGATACCAATGGCTTTTGGGCAAAAAAACCCATGGGGGAAGACAGATTAGACCCATGAACTGGGGAGCCTTAAAAACCCGCATAAGTGCCGAAAGCCAAGTTCTTTTCGGTCATTTAACTCCCCAATTTCATGGAAGGCCGAAGCGCGTTAGATTTCAGGCAGATGGCCCAAGGGGTTAGTGACCCTTAGGTTTTGCGGGTGCCATGTAGACCTATCCCTTTAGTCCAAGAATCTTTGAAGTAAAGGGCGCAAACAAAAAACCTGGTGTTCAACCTGTTGCTTCCCAAAACCTGGTTGTCCTTCTGAACACCTTTGCAACAACCAATCCGTTCAAACAAAAACAGGTACACAGTTTGTATGTTTCTATGCTTCGCAAAGCAAAGGGTTTCCGGCGAAGGACCTTTTAATGTTTGAGAACCTTTACCAACAAGGGTTCTTGGAGTGTAATACAGGGATTGGCTCCAAGTACAAGACAAACAAGCCCAAGGTACTTGGACCCGAGCTCAAAGCCAGTGGGATTCTTGCGTCGGTCACGTTCTAGAGCGCAACCATGCGGGAGGTCTTGCAAGTGAGAGGGCTCCCTTGCTCCTTTTGGTCGCTTTTGACGTAACCTGATTTCTTGGTGGATTCAAAGGAGCCAACGTACCTTAAAGGCTTGGAACCGCTGAATTGGTGTTTGGATCGGCTTGGGAAAAACAGCCCACAAAGAGAAATGGGAAAGCGAGCACATGGCAAGAAAATGGTGGGTTCGGGGAGTTCCTTTGCAATCCCAATGGTTGAGCTTTCACCTCCAAGCCACAAGAATTGTGTGTGTGACTGCGCCTACGCTAGGTTGGTCTCCGCAACTGCAACAGTCAGCCCAGGTTCACTCGCTGGGACATTTGCCTTTGAACACCTGTGGGAGCCCCCATTTTTTTTGGCAGGTCGGGGAAGTAGGTAAACTAGGTTGGTCCCAGCATATGAGCAATATGTTCTAAAGAGGTTTTGTTCGACGGTGTGGGGCGGCTTTGAGTGATCGATGTGCAGGGCCTCTGGACACATGAGAAATGACAACTGGTGATACTGATGGACGGATG